GCTGAGGTGGGCAGATCACCTGAGGTCAGGAGTTCGAGACCAGCCTGGCCAACATGGTGAAACCCCATCTCTACTAAAAATACAAAAAAATTAGTTGGGCATGGTAGCAGGTGCCTGTAATCCCAGCTACGTGGGAGGCTGAGGCTGAGGCAGGAGAATTGCTTGAACCTGGGAGGCGAAGTTTGCAGTGAGCCGAGATTGCACCACTGCACTCCAGCCTGGGCAGCAACAGCGAGACTCCGTCTCAAAAAAAAAAAAAAAAAATTAAAATTTTAAAATTCTTTACCACATCAAGCATATGAACCCAGAAACATTTTTTGAGGCTCTATATTCTTTTGCCAATATTTTATTTAAAATACTTTAGTCCTAGTTCTTTTCCATCTTTAGTGTAAAATAACTTTTTGTTATTGTTAAACTCAATTTGGGTTCAAAATCCTATTTCCAGCTTAGGAAATATAGTGAGGACCCATCTCTATAAAAAATTTTTAAAAATTATCTGGGCACGATGGCATGAGCCTATAGTTCCAGCTACTCGGGAGGCTGAGGAGGGAGGATCATTTGAGCCCAGGAGGCTGAGACTGCAATGAGCCATGGTGATGGCGCCACTGCACTCCAGCCTGGGTGTCAAAGTGAGACTCTGTCTTAACAACAACAACAAAATCATATTTGATTCATAAAAGGTGTGGAGTAAAACGTATTATCCCCCTATTCTAGCCTTGAAATGGTTTATATAATTGTGGCTATTTACCCTATAGATCTGAATGAAGAACGAGGAAGAGAGGGAGGAAGGAAGATAGGAAAGGAAGGAGGAAGGAAAAAGGAGTAAGGCCCCAGGTGATGCCTCTAGAGTAAAATGTGTTCACTGGGTGCAGAGACCATGAAAAGGTGCCCCTTGAGGGAGGGTGGGACATGGGAAGAGTGTGGGGCTTGGGAGGGCAGGACTGTAACCACCAAGGGGTCAGCTTGCGGCTTGGGTGAGGGGGGCTGAAGTAACCAAAGGCTGGCGACGCTCAGATGGCCACACTGTTTTCCACCAGGCTGGGCCGCAGGTACTCGTACGGCATGTCCAGCTTTGCATTCCGGTTCTCGATTTCCTTATCCAGGGCAGCCAGCTCCTCCCTGAACTTCTTCAGCACAGCCTTAGGCTCAGGGCCCGAAAAATACTCCTCCTCATGCTGGCCCACAGCCACCTGGGAGGGAGAGGAAAAAGCGGCTGGGAGCCTTATGACCCCCAGTCTGGGATGCCGCACGTCCCCACAGCTGCCTCCTTCCTCAGGGCCCTGGGCACTCGGCTCTCACCATAATGGGCTGGCGTCTGCCCAGCTGCCAAGTCATGGACATCTGGAGAGACGCCTGATGGAAGTTGGGCAGCGTTGCCATCACTGTCTCCAGCGTTGCATCCTTGGTGGTCGGCGGGGGCAGCCGCATCGTGCAGGGTGCATTAGGAACCCAAGAGTACCAGTCCAGCTAAGGAAGGGCAGGGATCCAGAGTCAGTGCCTGCTAAGCAGGAAAGCCCTGTGGCCCACCTGCACACAGACCCCTCCCTCACTCCAGGCCCCAAATTCCCAGGTAAGTACCTGGCCCAGATGCACAGAGGAGTGTTGGCCGGTGCAGGTGAAGATACACATGGTGACAAAGCGGCAAACCTGATCCCGAGACTGTAAAGAGACAGGAAACCCTGCAGGGGGTGAGGAGAGTTAGAAGCTGGGAAGGCAGGAGTAGGGCAGAGAGAGGAGAACAAGGCGGGGTGAGAAAGAGCGGCAGGAGCGCTCAGTAACTCTTACGGGAATTACCATGACAGCAGGTTGGGGTGGCGGAGTGGGGAGCTCTGCTGGGGGATCCCACTCAGTGGGGTGCTGCCGCTGACTCACATTGGCTCACAAGAGTCAGTCAATGACGTTAGGTGTTAAGCAAAAGCTAGTCAGCATCACTTTGGTGGCCACAGTAGAAATATTTATACCACGGAAATGTGCAAAAGCTACAAATCAGGACGGTTCTTCCCAAGAGTCAGTTGTTAAACATGTATGAGCAGCCACTGGTCCCGCTGCATCTGGCACCTAGGGGTTCTCTGCGTGTAGGATGGGGACCTGTCTCTAGGTGAGAGGCAGTGGAATCTGAGAAGGCCTTTGGAGTTCTCATAGGTGTTGAAATGCTTCTGGGAGATTTCATGAAGCACAGGAGATTCTGGGGAGGTCTCTTGGGTTTTGTGTCTGAGATCTCAGGGCAGGGGCTCCTCCTACCTCGGTCCTGGCCCCCTTGCAGCCCGATTTCAGTGATCTCTCGACACCAGGTCTGCAGCTCTGGGTCATCTTTCACAGCCACGTCTGTCTTATAGTGGAGACTCACGATTCCTTCCACATACCTACCAACCAACGGAGCAGGGCCAGTTAGCTGAAGCCAGCTTCTGGGCTCAGGTGATCCTCCTGCAGCCTCCCGAAGTGCTGGGATTACAGGTGTGAGCCACTGAGCTCAGCCTTATAATTTTTACACCTAGTTGAATGAGCCTCGATTTTACAGAAGAGGAAACAGATAATCAGAGAGGCTGGATGCTTTGCCTGAGGTCACACAGCTTACAAACAGCAGAACCAGGATTCACATCCAAGCCTATCTGCCCTGTAATCCCATGAATTTCCTCTCTGTTGTTGCATGTCGCCTCCTGATTAACAGCCACAGCACTCTGACCCTGATTCTCTTACTCTGCACACTCTCTGAATCCCTAGCACCAAGGGCCAGTCACATTTCTTCATTTGACCCTGTTTCTATCAACCATTCCACCTTGCACGCCCTCCCTCCGCAGCTACTCTCATGTGGGAAGGAAACCGAGCCGCTGAGCTTCTCCAGGATCCCTCAGTTGGAGGCCAGCCTAGGCAACATGGAGAAACCCTATCTCTACAAAAGCACAGGCCCCCAACCAGATGCAGACCTCCCGCTCTCCTAGACGTCTTCTCCACCCGAACTTGCACCCCCACTGGCCTTCCCCCTTGCCTCACCGAAAGATGATTTCCCAGAGCCGCAGTGCATCTTGGGCATAGAAGGAAGACTTCACTCCCAGGAGCCCCCGGTCAGCCAAGTCATCAGGGGGACAGAAGGAGCTATAGGTCAGAAAGCCTCCAGCTCGCCTGAGCAGCTCCACGTGGCCTCCCCCACCAGTGCTCACCACCTGAGGAGGGAGGATGAGCAGGGTCAGGCAAATCGACCTGCCCTGAATCCAGAGCTGGAAAGAAGAGTGACCCAGAATCTCCCTTTCTCTTCCCATACCTGGTCAAAAATTCCCATGTCAGAGACCAGCCCAGTCCTGGCCCGGACGTTAATTTCCAGGGTGTATCGCAGGTGAGGAATGATAAGCTAGAGGGAGAAACACAGGGAAGGGTAAAGTCAGAGGAGAGCTGCAGCAGAGCCCTGCAGGAAACAGGGGCCGACAAGCAGGAAAGGCACCAGGTCTTCAGAAAAAGCACAGATGTAAAGTTCAGTGGCCTCTCAACAGCGAGTTTTCAGAAGTACCAGTCGACCCAGCAATTCCATTACTGGATATATACCTCCCAAAATATAAATCGCCCCACTATAAAGGCACATACATGCTCACGTATGTTCATCACAGCACTACTCACGATAGCAAAGACATGGAATCAACCTAAATGCCCATCAACAATAGACAGGGTAAAGAAAATGTGATACACTACGTCAACAAAATGATACACACTACGGAATACTATGCAGCCATGAAAAAGAACAAGATCATGTTCTCTGCAGCAACATGGATGGAGCTGGAGGCCATAATCCTAAGTGGACTAACACAGGAACAGAAAGCCAAATATGGCATGTTCTCAGTTATAAGTGAGAGCTAAACATTGAGTATACATGGACACAAATAAGGGAACCAGCATCTATTTGTGGGTGGAGGGTGGAAGGAGGGAGGGGATCCAAAAACTACCTATCGGGTACCACGCTTATTACCCGGTGACAAAATAATCTGTACACCAAGCCACCGTGTACAGAACAAACCGGCCCGTGTACCCTTGAACGTAAAATTAAAGTTAAAAAGAAATACATAAAAATAAACCACTGAGTTTTCAGTTGATTTGCATCGACTATTTGCATTCCGCAAACCAGACTTAGTGCTTTATGATAATTGAAAGAAATCATTCTTTTGATGTTGTTGTTTTGTTTTGTTTTGAGATGGAGTCTCGCTCTGTTGCCCAGGCTGAAGTGCAGTGGTGTGATCTCAGCTCACCGCAACCGCTGCCTTCCAGGTTCACGCGATTCTTGTGCCTCAGCCTCCTGAGTAGCTGGGATTACAGGCATGAACCACCGTGCCTGGCCTCTTTTTCTTTTCATATTTTTTCATAGGTCTAAACCAAGATTTCTCAACTTTTTTTTTTAACCACCTACTAAGTAACCTTTGGAGATATTTTTTCCTAATCTCACTCCACCTCATTAAATAGTAGTACTACATATATACTGTATATCTATGTATTGCATTATATCTGTGCTTTATATAGATATATATCACATTATATCTGTGCTATATAAAATAATAAGATTCGGCCGGCCACAGCAGCTCACGCCTGTAATCCCAACACTTTGGGAGGCCGAGGTGGGCAGATCACCTCGGAGTTTGAGACCAGCCTGACCAACATGGCAAAACCTCGTCTCTACTAAAAATACAAAAATTAGGCCGGGCGCGGTGGCTCAAGCCTGTAATCCCAGCACTTTGGGAGGCCGAGACGGGCGGATCACGAGGTCAGGAGATCGAGACCATCCTGGCTA